ACAGTACCCAACCCATCAGCAGCAGGACAAAGCAGAAGTGATTAAAAGACAGAAGACAGAGTGAAGGAGAAGGACAAGGTGGGACTGCAAAGTACTGAACACTTTTGGCTCTTCCAAATTTCAGAGAAGGGTTCAAATTCTCTGGAGCAGCACTGCTGCTACCCAAGACCTCCTTCAGTCATTCAGTCCAATGTTCCAATTGTGCAGGTAATTTCATACCAAAACTACACTACTAACTAGTTTTAAACTACAAAACTAATCCTTGTTCTTAATAAAAAATTAACACATTTGATATCTGTATGACAAATCACAACAATAAAGAAAAGGCGTGATTTAGAAGCAATAACATTTTATTTATGATTAATCTTTTCATGAGCTCTTTCATGACTGTTGTGAAGGTACTCAATTGCTTGTTCTAACTGGAAAAGGTATTTTTAAGTTCTTTGTTATCCAATCCAAGGAAATAACACTGTAGCTCATCTAGAATTGCATGATTGATGAATTCCAACACTAAGTGAAGTCTTTTCTTTCTGCTTAAATACATTAATCAGGTTAACAATATCCTTATGATGAAATCATTGTTGGTAAAAGAAGAAAAACACTTTCTACCATGGCTTTTTATTTCAGTTCATAGAGACTTCCTCTAAAAGGCTGAAAACAAAAACTGTAATTTGCTTAACTAAAGACTGTCATTAATTTGAAAACACACTAAAAGTCTTTGTTTCTGCTCCCTCAGCCTTCCTCCAATATTCAAACACATTTACCACATTACTTTTCATGGTGCATCTTCAGCCTCTGAACCAATACTGCAGCACCAGGAATACAGCAAAGAAAGGAGCAGCTCCTTTCATCAGCTTAAAAATATCCTCTTGAATGTGTTTTATTTATGCTAATAAATCATAGATAAGAACTCCTATGTTAAAAGAATCACAGTAAAAATAGACTTTTTCACACTGAGGTCCATTTACCATTTAATTTTTACATTACTAGCTGCTGATAATTTGAAGCAGTTTTAGGGTAACTACAAAGCTGGTTTTAACTCAATATAGAAGTATGTTATTTTAATTGCACACCCCCCCTTTTTTTTTAATTGATGGCTACACTCACACTGGTGCCAGGTCTCCTTAGTGCCACCAAGAGCCAGGACATCAGTCCTGTTTAGAGGGAACTTCGAGGGAAGATGAGGAACCCATATGGCAAAATGTGCCATTATTCCTAATTAAAAATTGATAAGAACTAAATTTTTAAAACATCCAGTTACTGCAAAGAGTGGAAATGGAATGGGTACAAAGCATAGAAGTAAGAATCCAAATAAGTAAGAATCTAAATTTATACCCTTGTAATCTGACCACAAGTTATTGTTTGTGTACTTTGCAGAAGTTCAGTTAAATCGCAGCGAGCTGGAGTGTCTGGCAAGGAGAAAACCCAACCTGACCCATGTCCAGACTGAAATTCTTGTGGACTTTTCACAGGCAGAGGTCTGAACTCAAACTGAGCTTTTAGGGGAAATGCCTATCACAATGCTGAAATATCTTTGCGAGGAAATGCTGGCGGCTCCCGGCGGTGTTTGGGAGGGCTCAGCCCGGGGCCAGCAAACACTCCGCCCCTGCCGAGGCCAATGCGCGCCGCGGAGCGCGGGGCGGGAGCGGAGCGCGGTGGTGCCAGCGGGGCTGGCACCGGGCCCGGGGAGCCACGGGGCGGGTGCGGCACGGCCCGGGCTGCAGGGCTGGGGGAGCCTCTCCGTGGCCAGTTCTGCTGTCCGTGTCCATGGCCAGCTCTGCTGTCCCTCCCCATGTCCAGTTCTGCTGCCCCTCCCCATGGCCAGTTCTGCTGTCCCTCCCCATGGCCAGCTCTGCTGTCCTTCTCCATGCCTGTCTCTGTTGTCCCTCTCCATGGCTGTCTCTGCTGTCCCTCCCCATGGCCAGCTGTTTTCTGTCACAGCACGGTCCCCTGAACAGTGACTAATTATCATGGGCTCCGTGACTGCAGAAGGCTGACCAATTGCTTTATTATGCTATACTATATTATATTGTACTATTACGAGCTCATAACCCTTACAGACTGTCCCATACAGCTTTGACCTAATTGGTCAGTCAATCCAAACACCACCCAGTGTCCAATTAAGAAACCACTCCCTGGTAAACAATCTCCATAATGCATTCCACATGTGCACAACAACAGCTGCAGCAAATGCAGATAAGAATTGTTTCTCATTCTCTTCTCTGAACTTCCTCACAGCTTCCCAGGAAAATCCTGGGAGAGAACCATGTCTCTGTTCAGAGGAGATGTGACTAGCACAGCTTTCCCTCTCCCATGGCCAGGTGGGGCTGAGGACACCCAAGAGCTCCGGGATGGGAGCACCCCCAGCAGCGCCCAGGCAGGACACCAGGAGCTCACCCAGCTCACACACACCTTCTCGTGATGGGTCAGTCACCTTAGAAATTGTTTGGGTTTGTCAAATGCTGCACAAGAATCCTGTACTTACTCAAGATTAATGTAGAATGTGCTGTAAAAATCAAAATTATTTTAAAAATATAAAAATATTGTTAATATTTTAAAATAAAAATTAATTAAAATATAAACAAAATATTAACATGTTTAAAATATATTAAATATTAGAACTATAAATAATAAAAATATAAAAATAAAAAGTTATAAATATATAAACATAGAAAATAAATATATAAATATATAAACATATAAACATATAAAGTATAAACATGACAAAATATAAATGTATCAGTATATAAAAATATAAAATATGGCCTATCAAATGGCATTTTTTAAAAAAGTAGAAATAAAAATTGAACTTGAAACAATTTCCTGATCAGGAAGTTGTTATATCCATCCCAGTATTACTCAAGAAGGAACACATTACTTTCTGTTCTAGACCACAGACTGTGTAAAGATTTTTTACAAGTGTTTGAAGCACTGCTACAGTGGATAGCTTTAATGGTTGCACAGAAAAAAAACCTCTCCGAGTACCAAATGACAAAGTTAGTGTTGAAATTGTTGTTTCCACTCATCTCTGGAAGTCAGTGGGTTACAAGTACATGATAAATTGAAACCATTTGTACTAAAATGCCCATGGTGACATTATAATGGCAGTGATGCATTTAAGTTCATTAAACAAGGAAGTACTGGAAATAATTATCAGCAGATACAAACCTAAAGTGGATATTTAGTGCAGATTTCATTTTAAACCACCTTTGCAAGGCCAGACATATTAAACCACCTTTGCAAGGCCAGAGCCTATCTTTTATTGTTAGTTTGGGATATATTAATTTTAAAACATATATGTGCCATGCAATCAACATAACAGAAATTGCACCTGGTTCTTCAGAGGAGAGGAAAAAAAAAGCTTTTAATTTATTATTAAAACTACCAGCTACACCTGTTACTGCCAGGTAGGACTAAAATATTCCACTAGATAACATCAATACACTGTTCCCCGGTGGTGTCAGAGGAGAAATATTATCCCTGATGAGATATTGCTGAAAAAGTTCCCAAGCCAGGTGGAAATACCAAAGGGTTTCAGATTCAACTCCAGCTTGGTGCTGGTGTTGGGTTTTTGTTTATTTGCCTGCACAGGCTGAGGGTGACTCGGGCTTCAAAGGGCAGAGAGCTGCCCTGGGGACAGGGGATGCCCTGTCTGGGCTCTGAAGCAGTGCCTGCTAATACTGCATTAATTAAAGTTGTTAAGTGACCTTCATCTTGTGTACAGGTCCAAGCTTGCATTGGTTTTTACAGATTGCTTTCTGCCTTCCGGGTTAATAGGAGCAAAATAAAAGCTGGATAAAGGTAAAGGAGCAGTGGAATGAAAAATGGGAAAGTGTGTGGTGGTGGGAGGAGGAGGAGAGTTCAGAGGAAAGGAGTGCTTGCCAGGAACCATTCCTCACCAGTGTGGGGAATAATGTTTTAGTGGCTGGGGTATTACAGTTTCCTATTACCAAGCCTTTTGGAAAAGCTTGCTCCCCTGCAGTACCAGGTTTTGTGTGAATTCCTCACCTTTGGCATCTGACTATTTTCACTGAGGTGGGACATTGGATTAAAGTGGTCTGAGTAAATCCTTGCAGAGTTAAATCCCATGCCGTGTGAAATACAGATTCCTCTTCACAATGAGCCAGCCAGTGGTGCTGCTGCAGCACTGACTCGGTGAAAGGCAGAACCGAGCCCTGTGCTGTTAACCCCGGGCTGAGGCTGCAGGCAAAGGGAATGGGCAGGGGACGCAGGCAGGGCTTATTTCTGTCATGGCATTATGAGTCCCACGATGGTTTGACCTCCTTAAAATCATCTGAAGGAAAAGCAGGGAGGCACATGAAACCACACAAATCCAAGTTCAGGGATAACTTCCAAGACTGCATGTAGGAACTGGGTCACGACTTCAAAGAGACCCGATCCGTCTGTTGGAGTAATGGGATTTTTAAAAAGGGCTGAGAGCCAGGACATCAGTCTGTATTTAGAGGGAACTTCGAGAGATGCTGAGGGACCCATATGACAAAATGGGCCATTATCCCTAATTAAATTTTGATAAGAACTAAATTTTTAAGACATCCAGTGGGATGCCTTAAAAGCAAATAGTGGGAGTGGGCTGAATTGACGGTATAGAAGTAAGAACCTAAATGTACAACCTTGTAACCTGACCACGAGTAATTGCTTGTTTATTTTGCAGAAGTTCAGCTAAATCACAGTGAGCTGGTGTGTCTGGCAAGGAGAAAATCCCACCCGACCCACGGGCAGGCGGAAACGCTCCGAGAGCGACACGCAGCGCTGCCGCTTGCCCGGCAGGGCCGGCTGTCCCGGACCAGTCCCGGCTCAGTCCCGGGCTCTCCCGGACCCCTTCCGGACCCATTCCCGCCCGGCAATCCCGATTCTCTCCCGACCCTTTCCCGCTGCCTGTCCCCAAACTCCGCCGAGCGCGGAACCGCCTCCTCCTACCCCCCCGCGCGCTGCGATGGTACGGTCCCGCCCCCCCGCTGTGGCAGTGGTGCGGTCGGCGCTGGCCCCGCCCCGCGCGCGGAGCCGCCATTGCGGGTTGTTTGTGCGGGCGCGCAGCGAGCGCGGGCGGGAGGCGGCGCCGCGGCTCCGCCATGTCCACCCCGGCGCGCCGCCGCCTGATGCGCGACTTCAAGAGGTGAGCGGGGCCCGGGCCCGCCGCTGTCCCGCGCCTTAGCGCCGGGCCCGGGGCTGGCACCGAGCCCCCCGGGCAGGGGAGCGGCAGAGCCGGGGGGAGCGGGGGCAGCGCCGGCTTTGTTCGAGCCGCCTCACCCGGGCGCCGACGGCTGGGGGCGTGTGAGGATCGGAGCTGGAGCGGTGGCGGGCGCGGGGTGACGGGGCGCCGGGCTGGCGGGGGTGCGGGCGCTGCCGGCGCCGGGCCCGGCTGGCAGGGCCGTGCCCGTGCCGCCCGGAACCCGCCGGCTCCGGCTTTGGAATGGCTCGGGCGGAGTTCGAAGTGTTCCAGGCTTGTTGGGTCGCAGGGTCTCTCTGACAATAAGTTTGTTGTGATAGGCACCTGAAAACGGAGCGCAGAGAATTGGAGAACTCTTCGTTTGTGTGTAATAGGACCCCAAATGCCCTTTAATGTTTCTATGCACAATCATGTGATACTGTGTTTAAAGTTTGCAATCATGAGGAATCTTGTGTAATATATGCGAGCTGCTAAAGGAGCAGTTATTAGTTGCACTCTTTTAAATGTTAATGACTGAACCACTGCCTCTGGAATAAATTATTTCTAGTCTGACACGTAAACATACTTAGAAGAGAGTGTGGAAAAGGGTGGGAGGTTTCCTTGTAGGATGTACAGTAAGAGTTCTCCAGACTGGGTCGCTCCGGAGTACTTGGAGGTGAGTCAGCTTTGATAGTGTCTCTTTTTTTAGCATAGCTATGTTATACCAGGCCCTGAAAACACATCAGTAAACACCTGACGTGTATTGTAGTTTCTTTACGTGGCTCCACGTAAAGCAAAAGCGACAAACGCCTGATTCGCGAGTCTAGAAGCAGTAGGAGGTTTTTGGGAAGTGGAGCCCTCCCCTGCTGTTGTGTGAGTGTTGGTGTTTGTTAAGTGGGTGTTGCTTGATTCCTGTTCAAATCAAAACAGGATATTCAGACTTCTTATTGTATTTGCTTACACAGATGAACCAGTGATTTTTTTTCAGGCTCACTACCTCAATTTTTCAATATTGCAATCAGAATTTATGCCTTTATATTCCTAAAAGTACTGGTTTAATAATTTTGAAGTTAAGGCTGGAGAGAAGACTCTAAAGCTGTGGAAAAATATAACCAAGTACACAATGTAAATCAAATGCATTTGTCATGTGTATAGCAACTTTGATATTCTGAAACTTACGTAACTTTTTCATGTCAGTTTTTGTTTTACTCTGCTCTTTTGTGCTGCAAGTTATGTATTTGTTTCTTTTGTTACTTGTTCTTCATACTGAAATAAGAGACAGTGTGCTGTGAACTCTGATTCACGTCATTAAATATAAACTGCTTTTGCATGCTGTGATTGTCAGGAGCAGTCAAGAGAGAAGAGTTCAGCAGATTTCTTACCTCGTCTAATTTGTTTGAATGAACCAAAAGAAATAAAAGGTTATTTGTTTACTTTGCTGATAAAAAGGGAGTACTCAAACCACATTTTCCCTGCTGTTTAGGACTTTGAGGATTAGTTCCATTTGCAGTCCTTGCCAGATCCTTTCTGTAGTTAGACCCTGTGACAAGTAGGGTGCACACGTGCTTTGAAGTTGATCTAAAAACCAGAGTCCTCTCCCAGATGCATTTGTCAGGCTCATGCTCAGGCACTGCTGCTGGCCTGCAGCCTGGCTGTCACGTAGCAAGAAGTCCTGTTCCTGCTTTCCCTGACCAAAATAGTAGGTGGTTTATGCTGTTGATACTCAGCTGTCTGGACTGTGTGTGCTCAAAGAGCAGAGATGTAAACACAGAGTTTAAAGGGGCTCTGTAGGGCAGCACCACTGCTCAGCATCCTTGGACAGCACATGGTGTTACCCCAGGCTGAGGCAGTGCAAGTGCAGGGAGGATTGCCTGGCTGTGCTGCTGACAGCTCTCAGTAAATCTGCATATGGCATTTAGTTAGAATTTGTCCCTTGGTTTGCAGAGCTTTTTGTGGTGACTTGTTTGTAAGTGTGCTGTGATATTATCAAACCTCATGGTAACACTCAAGAGTTGTTTGTGACACAGGGGCAGTCACTGCATTTTCCTTATTCTTGCATAACTCTGGAGGTAAAACAGGTGAGGGCAGTAGGAGCTGTCACTGAGGGGGTTTGAGCAGGTGGATTGATTGGGGCTTGCTGGTGTACATTTGTCAGGGTCTTGTGATCCTTAATGTGGGTCAGTGATGGGCAGAGGGGGGCATTTGGATCCTGCCCTTTGGCTGCAGGATATGTATTTCTGGTTCAAGTTTGTGAAGCTTTTAGTGAGTAACGTGCTTTCCCTAGTCCAAGGATTAAGGAACTAAAAATAATTTTGAATGTTCCCGTAATTGCTTTAGAGATAAACACATTTGTGAGGCTGGTAAGAGGGAGTAGCAGCGCACAGGTTTCCCCTTTGCTTCCTTTTGAAACAATCAGCTTGTCAGTCAAAATAGGCTTATACCAAATTTAGCCACTTCTCACACACAGATCTGGGTGTGCAGGAAAAGCTCCCCTGATGGTCCCTTGCCTTGAGTCCCAGCAAGAGTGCCCTGTGTGTGTGCCACTGCCTGGATTTCAGCTCTTGGTTGTGCTCCTCTTCACTGTGGCAGCCAGCAGAAATTGCTCTCTCATAGTTCACAGTGTAGCACCATAAATCCCAGCTGTCCGTGGTGCTATAAGTTATTCTTACAGTTAATCCTTTGCTCCCTGAACACTTAATCAGACCTCTTGTGCCCTTGTGTCTCAGTGTAAAACATGAGAAAATCTTGATGTGCGTTGCCTTGTAGGTCTGTCTTTCAGAGTGCTGATAATCTGCATGTAATGCTTTGTGTATTCTCTGATCTGGAATGAGAAAATATTTATAAAATGTGGATATTACTGGTCAATTATATCTGCAGGTGGAAGTATTTCATATATATGACTTGTCTTTCTATGTTTGTAATTCTTAGATTGCAAGAAGACCCTCCTGTGGGTGTCAGTGGTGCACCATCTGAGAATAACATAATGCAATGGAATGCAGTTATATTTGGGTAAGAGTTTTTGGTCACTATGAAATTCAGTATTAGAGGGCTAAGTATGACAACCTGATGTTTGTTTTGGGTTATTCTCTTGTTTCATGTATGCAAAGTCAGTAAACTTCAAAAAAATGGCCAAGGTAAAAATCTCTTTTCACAGATAATGGGAAATGGTTAGGAAGGAAAAAGATTAAATTTTAAATTTGTTCAGCTTTTTTGTTGAATAAAGCTTGCATGTGGCTTAATAATTAGGTTTTACTGTATTATGAAAGAGCAGAATTCTTCTTTAAAGTACATAAGTGCCACATGTTCTCAGACATTAAATCCAGATGTATTAGTGATTGGATTGAGTCCCAGTAGGACAAGGTACAGGATCTGTCTGGGAAGTTACATATTCTGTGCAAGGGGAGGTGACTTGTGATTTAGTATCCTTTCATAACACTGAAGTGTGCTTGCTAATAATCTGCTCATTTGTTCCAAACTAGTCACCTAAAGGCATATGTATTGTTTGGGGTGATGATAAAGTAGATATCCCAAATAGCAGGTGACTGTGGGACATGTCTTAGATACAGCAAAGCTTTCAGAGGCTACCTATGGATGCTTCTCTCATAATTTAAATTATTGCTTCTACCTATATCTTGGAAAGGATGAGAAAGAAAATGTACAATTATTGTGCCTGCCTGGAAGTAGATAATGATCACTTTTAACTGGAGTTTCTTTTTAAAACCTTTCAGGCCAGAAGGGACACCTTTTGAAGATGGTAAGTTGCTAACTTTTGTATCCTTTGTCATTCTAATAAATGTTGCCAGTACTAACATTGTTCTGCTTTTGAAAAAGAACAGATGCTATCTGTGTGTAATTTGAAACAAACCAAGTAAGTGAAGCAATGAGAGCTATAAAAATATGTATCTTAATCTAAGCAGTGTCTCGTCATGCTGGCTCATGGCTGGTTAGAAAGCTAGGCAGCAATGCTTCTGTCAAGGGTGTTTCATACATACCCACAAGAGCTGTTAGCAGGGCTTATTGGCCTGACACTGCCAGGTGTGTTTGCACATCTCTTCAGCTGAGCTCAGTAAGAGCTTTCCTTGTTTCATCTTCTTGGCATGTTTGATTCATCACTGTTCTCCTAATGAAGAACAGGTGAAAAACCTTGAGGTGTTCTCAATATAGAACTCAGTGAGGTTGAGGGAATCCCAAATTTGTACATAAACATGAAAGCTAGTGTGTAATGACCCTCCCTCAGGCATATGAGGAATAATGAGTTTAATAATTATAGTATTATTGCAGTAATTGGCAGCAGATGGGATTTTCTCTGTGTTGTGTTGGAGGAATTACAGTAAATTATTCACTGATCCATAACAAAGGTTTTCAGTGAATCAGTTGTGAGCTCCAAAGACTGAGATTGCTGATTATGAAATTCCAGTGTTTCTTTGCTGGCACCACAATGCCTTCTTAATGAAACGCCTTAAAGTCACCCGAGTCCATGGACCCAGCATACCTGGGTCATGGAAAAGTGGGATAATGTTGGATAAGGGTGCCTTTGCCATGTATGCAGTGAGTCTCCAAGCTCCTACCCAGCCACTACTGCTGGGTTTGTTACTCTAGGCAGTAGTTCCATAGTTCCATTATCACTTGAAATATATGAAAATCAATCAAATTCATTGTTGTTTTTTTAGATAATGGTGAGGAGAAATACTGGTCATGAAGCACACAAATTAATTTGTTGTCTATGTTCCTGGATATGTTTTTTTGTTGTTAGTAATCTGATTTTATTTATCTTTGGACAGGTACTTTTAAACTAGTAATAGAATTTTCCGAAGAATATCCAAATAAGCCTCCAACTGTTAGGTTTTTATCAAAAATGTTCCATCCAAATGGTGAGTAAACCATCTTTATTTAGCTGTAATACTCATTAAATATTACAGTGTGGTCATGCATTCTCTGAAGCTACAGAATGCTTAATCTCTCTTCAGTGCCATCTCCTAAGTAGATGTCTAAGACAGCAACTGCTTGACGAAAAATTGAGAGTTATGATGCTATTAAGAAGCAGCTATCTGCCTCTTACTAATCAATATGTAGCCTCAGTAGCAAAGCCTGTGAGTATTTTCAGCAGCAGCAGCTGCACTTAGGTTGGTTTAAAGAGGCAGTTCTGGCTGCAGATTCCTGCCCCCTTCCATTTAACAGCAGCCGTGTCTGTGCAGCCACAGCATGAGCTGCAGGGAACTGCTGGAGCCAAGTGTTCATTATTCCTGCCAGGTGAGGTTTCACCCAAGTCCCAGCTTTCATCTGGTGCTCTGTGCCTACCAGGACTAGCACAGGGAAGAAAATGAGGATGCTCAGTCATAGAGGAGGTGTCTGACCCCATCTCAGTGGTGAGGGCAGCTATGAGAATGCACTGTGCTGCTTCCCCCAGCACTGATAGGTTTTGCTGAGTGCAGAAAAAAACCTGCCTGCTTCTCCTCTGAGAAATTATACCTCACATACTGTGCAGACCAATTTGTCTCTGCCACAAGGTCTGTAATTTGTTGGGAACAAGCGGAAGACAAGGGTGTAGAAGTTTGAGCAGTGAGTCTCAGGTTCATGTGAACTCCCTAAGACTGATAGGTATCCAGACAGAAGTAGGATTTTCCATATTTTCTACTGTCTGCCTTGCTGCCTGTCATAGTGAGTGTGTGAAGATGGGGTAGGAGCTGCCCCTGCTCGTGGTGTGGTGGTGTGAGTGGTTCCACTCCTGCAGTGAAGGCCTTGCTGCTCCCTGGGGGGATCTCCACTGTGACAGTGTGGGTCAGTCACACTGGAGGAGCAGGACCCCAAGTCTGCCCCTTCCTGTGCTAATGCCATAATCTTCAGACATTCCTTCTTTCCCTCTTAGGTGTTCTGTTAATTTCAGTAATAAATCTCAAAGTATGTGTCAAGCCACAGAAGATGGTGAGACAAACTGCTGTCCTCTTTCCTAAAGCATTAATTTAAGCACAGACTGAATTGGAGCAATAACTCTGCCTGCACAGTGCCATAAATCTGACAGTTTCTAAGTGATACCTGTGTTGTATTTGCAGTGTATGCAGATGGCAGCATATGTTTAGATATTCTTCAGAATCGCTGGAGTCCAACATATGATGTTTCATCTATTTTAACTTCAATTCAGGTAACTTTGCATCTGTTTTACCAAATAATTATGTTGTTGTTGGTCTCTATTCCAGAATTCACAGCTCAGTGGTGGTGATAGCCAGGTATCTGTATCAAGGGGAGCTTCAAATCCTTATGAGCTCAGCAGTATTTTTAGATCAAATAAAGACAAAGAAGCTACATAATTACTAATTCTGAGCTGTGAAACTGCCATAGTATATTTTTGCACAGGAAAGCAGTTACTGGTTTGTGTTCATTTTTAACTGTTTTTACTCAAGATAGGATATCAGATGCAGAAATTTGCCTCGTGTTTGAAACATTTAACTTTACTGCGAAGCCCTCAAAAGGGACAATATTGCTGAAAGGGCACTACTTGGAATAAGTAAAAATGGCCTGGCACAGTGGAAATGCACAGTTCCTTTGCTCCTGTGTGATTGTTCTAATTTTTCAGCCGTGATGTTTTGTAGGTGACAGCTTAGCCTCTCTTTAGTCCTGAATGACAGTATAATGTAATTACCAAATAGTCAATTAGCTCCATAGTGCTGACTAGCACAAACTGTCTCTTGTTTGTGAAGCTACAAGTGTGTACAGCACTGATGCTTAGGCAGGGTGTAATTTGAGTGTCAGTAATGTAATTAGAGGTGCCTAACTATGAGTTTAACCAGGTTTTTTAACTGGGCCATTCTGAGTTGTGTCTGCCTCTGAAACACATTTGACTTGAAAGTAAGTTGATTTTTTCTTTATTTAAATGTGTTGGTTTGTCTCACATTATATTTTCCCCTTTTTCCAGTCTCTGCTTGATGAACCCAATCCAAACAGTCCAGCAAACAGTCAGGCAGCACAACTTTACCAGGAGAACAAACGTGAATATGAGAAAAGAGTTTCAGCTATTGTCGAACAAAGTTGGAATGATTCGTAACAGCTGCTGTGTTACTCTCCATCCTCATAATCATTATGTACAATTTAACTCTCAATAGAAAGGCTACCAGAAATTTCAAGTGCCACAGTTCTATGAATTTGCATAAAAACTCATTTGCAAACAAAATTAAGCCCTCAGTTTAGGGGAAGCTAAAAGCTTGTGTATCTCAATTAACGTCCTTTTTATTGCATGGTGAGAACTAAGTTATTGCTCCATAAATTTGTAATATATCCTGTTTGTATTTTTTTTCCAAGTGTATAATGTTGGTGTGGAGTTTTCATGACAGAATATACACATTTTGTAAATCTGTACTTTTTCAAATATTGAATGCCTTATTTTTGAATTCTTTAGATTTTTAAATTGGAGAAAAGCACTTAAAAAGTTTTTATATATGAATATTTCATGTAAAACTGTTAAATACATAACCTTAGTGCAAGACATTCTGCTCTCACTCTATCTTTTTCCAAGGGCTCATTTTCTTGTCCCTGCTGTTGACACCCTGCATTTTACAAACAGAAAAGTTAATCCACAGTGTATCTGTCTCCATGGCATGTCTTTGCTCCAGCACCACAGCTTGACTTGATTCTGTGTGTCCTCAGTTGTATGAGGAAGAGACATTTTGGTAGCTGCCAATTACAAATGAGGAAACAGATGTTACTGTTTTGCTAAAAGTCCCACCTTAAACCAGCAGCAGAGCTGCAAACATAACCTGGGTGACCAGGCTTGATGAGAACATATTCTAATAAGTTTTATTTTTCTGAAATATTGTATTTTGCAAACATGGAAATGTTGTCATCTAAATCTGTTCTGTATTCACATAGTGATACTGTAATATAGTTTTTAATATCTTCTAATAATTAAAGAGGTTTCCCATTAGTTTCCCTTGGGGGTAGGGAAAAAATTAATCACCAACAAAAGAAAACATGTCTGCAGATTTAGTGGAGTTATTCTTTAAAGCTGGACTGTGTACCATGTGGTCAGGTCTCTTGTCTATCACAGAGGCTCCACATATTCTTAAATTGACAGTTTGAAGAACTTTGGATTTGTTTTATTAAGTGTTGATGTGGTGATCATTTCTTACTGTATTCTGTATTCAAACCAGGCTAGCTGACTACAGTAAAGAATGAAGCCTTTTTTTTTCTACCAGCATTAAAATTGTAGCAACTTTTCATAATTCCAGCCAGCATTACATACATATTAAACTCCCCAAATCCCATACCAAAATACAGCTCAGTGGTGCCTAAAAAGCAATGGAAGTTGATTTCACCTAGAAAAGAAAGTGTTTATTTGTAGCAGTCATTACTAGAAGTTATTCTCAATGCACTGAAACAAGAATATCAATTTACACCTCACACCTGCTTGTAAAGGTCTGTGATTTCTAGGAGCAGCATCCAAGTTTAGAAATGGCACTCAGAATACTGTCCAGCCAGAGTCTGAGTAGCCTGTGGAGTAAAACTGCTGTGCCTTGAATAAGCTTAGTGTACAAAGGCTCAGAAAATATCAATGCTGTGTAGTAACTTTGCTCTCATTAAGTCAGCTTGCTTTCCTTGAATTGCTGAATTTGTGTTTAAGAATTTTTCAATCTATGTCTGATTAATAACAGAAGCTCCAAAGGATCCAATTTGCTTTTAGTTGTGGTGAAGTTACAGTAGCACTGGCAAAGTGGTGCTGTGTGGCTTAAAACATCAATGCAAAGATTTTTTTGTTCATAAATATAACATGGAAAAGATTCCTCATTCTAAGAATTAATCTAAACTTCGATTTTTATTTTTTTTAATTTGCCTTTTTCAGTATTTTTGGTCCTTTGACGTGTGATTTGCTGTTCATTAGCATTCACATTAATTTGATTTTTCCTGAATATTTTTTTGTTCATAAATATAACATGGAAAAGATTCCTCATTCTAAGAATTAATCTAAACTTCGATTTTTATTTTTTTTAATTTGCCTCCTTTTTCAGTATTTTTGGTCCTTTGACGTGTGCATGAGCTGAGATTTGCTGTTCATTAGCGTTCACATTAATTTGATTTTTCCTGAACAGCCAGTTTGGCCCAGTTATAGATTGATGACACTCAGAACATGTTTTTGTGTCTCTGGGATGTGTGAGAAATAAAATAGGTGCAGAAGGCAGTGCAATTAATGATGGGCACTGCAGGCTGCCTGTGCTGAGACCCACAGTGTTCAGGGACAGGTGTTTCTGAAGAGCATTCTCTGCAGAGGGCAGAACTTGGAGCCTACACTTGGGAAAGTCCAGCTGGAAAATGTCCTGCTGTCCCTCAGACAAAGGTGAGGTATCCCGGGGTGTGGTGGGGAGGAGCATTCCCTTGCTCACCAGGTTTCCCACAGTAGCACTTGAGGTGACTCTGCAAAATGGGAATGGTGAGAATCCATGCCCCGGGTGACCTGTGGGGACACGCTGGGACAGAGGAACTGCTGCTTCTGCAGGCGGGGTCCTGGAGCAGCCGGTGCATCCCCAGGGGGTGTGGGAGAAAGGGTGACTTCTGTGGGCCCTCCACCAACACACGTCAGAAACAATCACAGAGCATAGGTTAACATCTGCTAAAAGTTGCTGGGAAACATGTATTACCAGGCAGAAGGCAGCAGGGGTCATGGTGTAAAGGATGCAATGTTTGTGAGCTGGCAGCACTCATGGTGCTGCTCAGGGCTACAGATTCCTCTTGGAGCCTTCACATGCTCCTGTTCAGCTTCTCCAGTGGGTTTAGGTGTACTGACTGTTCAGGCCTGTGTGTTCCTTGCTGCTCCCTGCTCCCACCACCCTCCTTTTGGGGCCATCTGGTCCCCGGGCTGAGCCCTGGGGCTGCCCTGGAGCTGTGTGGGTGCTGGAACAACAGGTCAGGAGTGTGGGTGATGGACAGATGAAAAGCCCTTTCCCTCTGCAAAGAACAGGAGTGATGACAAAAAGATTCAAGTGCACTGATTCACAAAAGCACTCAGTAGTCACACTAAACTTTGTGTCACAATTACCTTCTTAAATAGTGTACTGGGATGCTTGTTTTTTAATATATTAGGAGATGTAATGCACTAAGCTTGCTAGGACAGTGGGATTAATTAAGGAAGGATTGATGGACTCACAGTTTTGGATTTATAGCTTCTCACAGGGCTTTCATTCCTTGATATTAAACAGTTCATAATCACTTCTTTTCCATTGGATTCATATAAAGATTGAAAAACACAGTGGAGATGTCTTTAAATTATTCACCCCAGAGTTTTTGTCCTATATATCCATGTCATTGCCCTGATTTTAGGGGTGGACAGACAGAGGCATCCAGGTTTGCAGTGCTGTTGTGTCAGTCAGGAAGCCATTGGTGGGGCTGTGGGTGTGGACCATTCCTGGGCATTCCCCAATCTGAGTTTCAGGTATAAAACCACCTCTGCCCTCAGGTTTATCACACTAACATTATTCATAAGAAGAATCAAACACTGCACTGCTCGTGCTGCTTTCTTCAGATCTCAGTTCCCTAAAGATGTCTCATCCAAATGCAGTCCCAAGCCAGAACTACGGGACGTGGATCTTCACAAATGTGATTAACTTCACTAGTGTGAGTCGTCCCATTGGGATTCTTCACCATAGTACAGATAAATGTGTGTAATTGAAGAATCAAGGCCTTAGGCTGTGAGAAGTGAAGAAATCACAGCTTGAGTTACTGTATCTGCAGCTTCTTTGTGGGAGGTTTTGTATTAATAGTCAATTAATTCAGTGTGTCAAATAAATAAAGCTTTAAATATTTAGAGATTAGGAGGTGCCTAATAAAAAATTTACAGGAAGAAAGGAAGATTCCCTGATCACTACAGGGGCATTGAAATATTCAAAATAAAATAGGTAGGATAATGTAGACAGTTAAATACTTCACATTTAACATGTCAAGAGTCTGTGAGAATAGCTTTTGATGTATATAAAAATGCACCAGGAGAGGAAGAGACTTCTCATCTGGCCAGACTTCCCAACCTGTGTTTTTATTTGAGGTTTTTACTGTTTGTGGAAGCTGTCCCAGGCAAATACTATGCCTTATTTGTTTGGAATTGTTTTCTGGAAGAGGAAAGGTGTAACCAGCAGGCAATCTGCTGTAATGTGTGAGTTGGCAAGGCAGGTTCTGCACCTCAGCTTTGGATGGGGCTCCATGGTGAGAGGCTGGTTGGACTGTGAGTGAGAAACAGTGACCAGAGACTCTGGGTGAGTGGGCAGCATTTGTGTGAGCAGAGCCAACACTCTGTTTAATTTATGGTTTAAGTATTAAAACAATCATCTGACCTCCTCTCCCTGATTTTGTTCATCTTTCTAATGGAGGAGCTTCAGCAGGGTACGGAATGTGCGTGTCCTGTGTTGTCATGCTGACAATGGATCACAGGCCCTCCTCAGCACACCCAGCTTCTGTAGAAGTGTAAACTGTATAAACCCTTGGACCCAGCCTTGGGCCATAGGAACACCCTGTAGCTAGAGCAGTAAATTATTTAGGAGGTGATCTTTTTATTTCATTAAAGTTTTGGGGATAAAACCAGTCCAAAACTAGAAGACCAGCAAAGAATTTGTGTTATTGCAGGCAAGTGGACAGTTTTGTTGAATATGAATGTTCACAGGTAATCTCTGGAAATCTCTTCATATTAATGATGGTGAAAGAGGTGAGAGGAAAAGGAGCTAAATCTAAAAAAAAATTAAATATGTAGAATCAATGAACAAACCCCATTATCGGGATGCTGCACTGCTTTGCTGTGCATTCAAAGGATATGAGTCTTCTAGAAAATAATTTATCTTGGATTATGTGTGTGTATGTACATAGGAGAGAGCTATTTGAGCTTTTATAGAAACTTTAGGTAGTGTTTGAAAATAAATGGGCTTTAGGATTTGAGGAGTTTTTTTGCTTAGCATTGTTACTGCACCTTGAGTTCATCTCAGAGCTCAGCCACCATGAGCAGAGAACAAAAAAAAAGGCAGAACTTTTTAGACTTTCTGATAATGACTGTAATTAGCATCACAAGCTATAGAAATTGTGATATTCCCTAAAGGTTTCTTGTCATTATCCTCGGTTTCTGCATTGAAAATAAAGATTTTTAAGAGAGGGTATCTTCTGTATTTGGTACTGTCCCACTAATGGTAACATTCAGCCTCCGTGACTGCGTGAATCCATTCTTAATGCTTGTGTCTGCTGTGGTCTGTGTGAAAGCTGTGTCCTGCCAGAAAGCAAACATGCTCCTCTCAAGCAGGAGATGTTGTTCAGCATCCAGAATGAGCCCTTTTTCATGATGTGGTCAAAGCACATAGCGTGGGATTTTCTGAGCTGGTGCAAATGTTACTAGAAGAAAGTTTGTTTTAAAATCCCACTATGTCAGTGTTTCAGTCAGGAGGTCAGTGAGGTCATAAAATAAATAATTTTTGCCCTTAAACAAGTGGCAGAGCTGGTTCACACTCCTGCAGTAAGGGAGAT